TCTTGGTGTTCAGATATGTCCACCGAGTTAAACGAAAAATGATTATCATTAATTATGCATATATGAATGCTTTGTTGTCAGTAAACAGATTGTTATTTAGAGAGAAACTCAAATCTTTCATCTTTAGTGATTTATACTGAAGTGTGAAAATTCATCATTAAGGGTGGGCGGGGAAAGTTGTCAGATGTCATCTTTATGGGGGAAAGAGTTAAAAACGCCTGTTCTTTAACTTTTAAACATTAACTAGGTCTGTGTTTGTCCGTTTGCCAAAGGTCACATGGTCATTGATTCATTCATACCAATGAACCTTCACATTCAGTCATAGGTACTCTCATTCACTTCAATTTTGACTCCCTTCGTATGCAATAACAAAGATTTGGTCTCTTGGTGTGAAAAAGTGAAGCTGTTTCAACTGTGCAGGAGTCTATGACAACATTACCCTGCTGCTCACTTGATTTACGAACTCAGTAGATACTTTCCTGATTGGTTATGGCTTCAGTCGATAGTTTTAAGTCTTATTTACTACAACATGATCATCATTTTGTTTACAGCACAGTAGACAATAAAGAAGATTGTGCTTTAGGTTCGAGCTCACTTGTTATTGAGAAGTTGCCGCCACATCAACAGTCAGGTCCACCCCCTAACTCGTGACTGATGGTTCTTAAAAACATCCTGGTGGCAGGCAAAATGCCAAACTTCAGGTTTCAGAAGTCACAAACAAACGTCACACCTGTTCAGTTGAGGAGCTTCCTCATCCAACCTGACAGCCGCACACTGTGCAAGCCAAAACTCGCCAGCATTTTTGAACAGTACACATAAGCTAAAGAATAAAACTGTAAATCTTGTGACAAAATCCTATGTTTAGAATTTTTGTCACCAGCTAATCTCATAAGTCACATGTGGCACTAACTTTTTCTTTTACCTAAACGTTTTCAGAAAGAGGAAGTAGTGAGTGTGATGTCCCGTGGTTTCTCTATTTGGGGATCGAATTTTAAAGAAATATAAATTCGATGACATGTGACAATTTCCTGTCCAACGGTTTGCTGATGTTGGCACTTATCAGACTGGCACGAATGAAGAGTGTGTCTGACTGCCCGTTATGCAATACAGCACACACACACAGATTTCCATCACTTCTGAGGATTGATCACAGTCATTTTCTGCAGAAGACTCGCACTAAAATACTGATTTATGCATGTATGTATGTTTATGTCCAATCACATGAATAATCATATAGATGCATGTGTTTTCATATCAGAACACTCATTTACTTTTCCTAAAGCCCATAACCCTAAAGGCAACCATAATGACACCTGCACCTGGTTCGATTCATAATCAGACAAATTTCTAAGCTTCCAGATACACCCAAAAAGCTCCAGCATCACTTTTATGAAGCACATTATTACCAAAGTCCTCTTTGGTGATCTGATCTTATAGTGAAATGCATCCCTGTCTTTTTTTTTTTTTTGCAGACTCAGATGAAAATCTAGCTTTGTTGTAGCCTAGCTTACAACAAAAACTGTAAGAAAATCCATTCATCAATACCTGTAAAGTTGTTGATTGGTGGGTGTTGGTCAAAGTTTGCAGTGACAGTAGGAGAGACCTTGACTCCCTATGAGGCCCCCACCTGACTCCAGTCACTCACGTTTTGCGATGTGCATGATCCTGTTTAAACAAACCAAAAGACAACAACAAAAACCAATGAGTGAAAAATTTGAGGATTTAAAGTTCTGTGAGTGAAAAAGAGGAAGAGGAGAAAAACGCTAGAGCAGACAGTGGTGAGTGGAGCAGATAATAATGAATAAATATAATGCAAAATAATTAAATGCTGCTGCCTTAACTTTTGGGGAGTGACACTTGAATAACATAACTTCTGGTCGCACAACATTGTTTCTTTTGTTTACTTTGCCAGTTAACATTAACTTAGCTGGCAGTCAGTCGAGCGCACATGGCCAGGAGTCAGAGTTTTGTTAAGATTACCATGTGTTTATTTTTTGATGCTATTTAATATTTTTATTGCCAATCGAGTGCCAGCCTGTTATACTGTCCTGTGAACTCTGGCTGTTTTTAAGAAGAGCACAGTTTACAAATGTTTATGTGCTTTTGTTGTCTAAAGTTATTCCAAGTTTTAAGTTTTTATCATTCTGGTGTGGCGTACAGTTTAGTGGTTTAGATATTTGCCTAACAAGTGCAGTTTGGAGGAAATACAAATCCATTTTGGTTGCATTAGGTGGTGGATCAAAAGTGAAAAATTCTTTGTAAGGTCACGCCTTTTAAAACATGCGGAGTGGCTGAAAGTAGCTTCTTGATATTTATATTCCTGAGCTGTTGTTTGAATTTTCCCACCAGGATGTGGAATTTTGTTAAGTGATTGTCAAACATAACCTATTTCTTTCCACTCTTTCGGTTCACATCACCTGAATAAAACAGTTGGACATTTTTGGGCACCATAATGCTATTATTAATTCACTGGTTCTCAAAGTTTGGATGATTGCTGATTTACAACCCCTATTCAGAAATAGTTGGGACGTTGTGTGAAATTGAAATAAAAACATATCGCAATGATTCCCAAATCTCATAAACCTACATTTTATTCACATTAGAATATAGAAGAACTATCAAATGTTTAAATTAAGACAAATACAGCAAACTCACCACAAACATTACATTTCACATTTCCATTTGATTTCTTTTGCAATTTTCTTGTTTCTTCGTGCATTAAAATAGCTGCACAAGCTGAAGAATGACCTCTTTGTAGTTTCTCAGAGGCATGAATCTGACCTGCATAGGCCTGCCCGCCCAGTGTCATCCCCAGTGTCAGCCATGCTAGTTACCACGACTGTTGCAGAAGCACTAAACTACTTTTAACTGAATAATTATAACTGAGCTCACTTTTGTCAGCAATATGGATGTTTACGTTTTTCATTACCAAATTGTATTAATTATTGTAACTTAGTGTTAATGCGTATCAGTAGACTTCAGCTGAAGGGCCACAGTGACTTTACTGGGTGAACTTAGACCCATCCATAACTAAATAATAAAATTTCATCACTCCTCAAGACCTTTTGCTGATTTTCAGTCCAGTTCTTGTGTAATTTGGCATACCTCATCCTTTTTTCGACATTTCCCTTATTTAAAAATGGCTCTGTGACAGCTGCTCCTCCACTGAGACCATTTCTGATTACTATTTTATGCGCATCAAACTGTGTTCCCTTTGGCATTCCTCATACAGTAGATTTGACTAAAGGAATTGGAACAAAGTATCTGTTTTTCATCAGGCTGCTTGTAACAAAGTGCCTTAATATCTAATTTAAAATTGGTTCTTTACTAAAAGGTCTGTTATGTGTAGTTGCAACAATGTTTCATCACTTGAGTTAGGTGCATTTTTATATAGGCCCTAGTTGACTCATAGGTCAGTATTAAGTGGCTTAACAAAGATTTCATGGACTAGACTGGACTGAAAATGAGCGATAAAGCAGCAAATGTTCAAAGAAGAACGTCCAGAAAGCCCTGGAAACTATTATTCAAGACTAATTTAAACAATTACGAGAAATTCTGGCTTAAATTATAAAGAAATGAGCGTTGGCTCAAGAACTTTGCACAGCACTATATTAGCTCATGTAGCATGTCTCAAAATGCTGGGATGGGTCAATAAAAGGCTGGACACTGGACACAGCATACCAGCTGTCAGCTGCTTTGAATTGTGGTTGCAGTGAGCCAGCATATAATGGAGGGCCTAGGAGAAAAGGTACGCACCAAATACATTTAGTTTGTGTGTCATGGATATGACTGGGATTCATGCCAAACAATGGTAACTGTGGTGTTTGTCCTCCCTTAATCATTTGTGAGGTAGAGGTAGAAACTTGATCTGTCTCTCATTGGTGAGGTTTGAGCCACAGCGGCAGAAGAGAAATGTGAAAGTCAACGGAAATGTGCCCTTGTTCTCGTTCTGCATCATCATCCTTCGAGCGAATAAAATGTACGCTGGCACATCATTCTTTACTTGTTACACTCACTTCCTCCGTATCATGTCACCTAGGGTCACCATTAGAGTTGGAGTCCACTTTGACTACCGGGACATTAAACAGTGACTCTGGACTGTGACCAGAAAGAGGTCATGTGCTTTAAGACCTTTGGTCATCTTTCCAGTGAGGCAATAGCTCCACTTGCATGCACATAGAAAGCTTTGGTTTCAGGAAGTGTGCTCAAGCTTGTTGTGTGTCAAGCCATGAGTGTGTGAGCTGTGTCTTGTGATGAGTAGTGATGATGATATATATGTGTTTTTATAGTAATACTTCCATTTACATCTCTGCCCTCTCATAACACCCTCTTTAACTTGCTGTAGCAGCAGAAACCCATTGATACAAAAACAATAAGGTAATAAGAATGACTTTAAACAGTTTGTTTTGTAACTGACATAGATCACACAACAATATGTGCTGCGTTTTCTCGTTTGCTTTAGCAACAGTGACATCCTGGCATCCCACACCCAAAAATGCAAATACAAACAAATCACATGTTGGTAAAATTAAATTACTTTATTTGTTTGCTGTAATGTCACTGTCGCCATTTTCCATCCTTCCCAACAACCTCAAACTAAAGAAAACTGACAGAAAATCAATCACCATCTGGTTATAATCAATAATCTCTGGAGTCTGAGTGCAGGCTGTCTCAGTGACTGTAGGGGACCAAGCAGGCAAAGCTGTGCTGTTGAAAAAGTGGGTTTCATTTCAATCAAAATCAAATAAAAGCATTAAAAATAATATTTAATGCAAGACATATAAATTTAGCAAATAAATAGGGCGAACTAAATAAGCACTGCTCATAAATTACTGCTTACAAAACCTCACTTTAACAAAGAGAGCACCATGAACCTAGAGTAGTGGAGCAAACCATTATGGATGCAAAGGGGAAAAATCACAGGGATAACAACTAAACTCACCACAAAGAAAATCCATGAACCCCACAGGTATCACAACAAATGGTTTGGTCCATTAGCCTCTGTATTTCAAACAACTCAGCCACCTGCTTTGAGTAACCACGAAGACCTGGAGCAGTCGAAGTTTAATGCCAGCAACAGAGAAAGAGTGATTAGTGCAATTTCTATAAAACTCAGTGTTGTGTCGAAAAATGGTTGAATCAAAATAATCAGGTAAGCTAGTTATCTCTTATAACTGCACATTAGCTTTAAAGTCGTAACAAGGCTGTGAAACCTCAAACTGTATGAGGGATTTAGGTGAGTGCAGAGAATGAATGGATGTTACAGAACTTGTTCCAGTGGTGTGTTTTTTGAACTTTGATCATGCAAACCTTTTTGATAGAGGGACCTAAAGAATATTTGGATGCTAAAAACAAGAAGCTATAATATGGAATTTTGTCTCATGTGTTAGAAACCAACCACATATTTTGAAGGTTCACCTTCACTGTAGAAGATGAATTATTTAATAGGTGAAGGATATCAATCTAGCCATTATGTTCAGCTTGTCTAATTCAGGGTTGCAGGGTGAATGGAACATATCTCTAGCACAGGGCAAGAGTCGGGGTACACCGCTCTAATCACAGGGCTAAGGCTCATTTACCAATTTAGAACTACCAGCAATATAATTTTTTTTTTTTTTTTAAAGCTTACGAGCAGCAGCTGGATCGAAATCCAGAACTGTCTTGCTGTGAGGCAATGGTGGTAACCACTGCTCCCCTGATACTAAGGATACTGTACAAAAACTGGGATGTGTATTAATGTTTGTTTTCTGGTGTTTTATGACTGCCTTTTGCAGTAAGCCGGAATATCTGCAAAATGGCACGCTGTTGGACGAAAGCACTTCTGATTTGAAAGGAGCGTGACACTTAATTTTTGACCGTGCAATGTGGTCCACTCGCATATGCTTTGTGCCAGAGTTCACACTGAGGAATCGAGCACTGTGGAATATTTGGATGTAATGAACAGAATTATGTGAGACAGAAAGAACTCCAACAAACCTGAACTTGGTCAGAATCTTTGAATAGTCCTTTACAGCAGCGGTCCCCAACCTTTTTTTTGCGCCACGGAACCGTTTATCCCGACAATATTTTCACGGACTGGCCTTTAAAGTGTCGCGGATAAATACAACAAAATAAAACTAGTACCGGTACCGGAAAAAAGATCTATTCATAACACACGGGAAAAACCCAGGAAAACTGAGTTAATGACAAAAAACAATAACAAAATAACGCTGAAAACCGATAAAAACCCTGAAAACCATACATTTCACACTCGAGTCTCAACTCTCGCGGCCCGGTACCAAACGTTTCACGTGGTCCGGGGATTGGGGAACGCTGCTTTACAGGACTGGGCACGTCTTATTCAGGTGAGTGAGTGGGTCAGGCAAGTTTTACAGGTTTTTCCCATGTTGTCTTCCTAAAAGGGGAAAATGCAAATCCGAGCAAGGGATACTAAATAAGCAAGTTTGTAATATTTATGGTTTCTCAAGGGATGAAGCAGTGTTGCTTACACATAACGGACAACTTGGCATGAACCAGCTTTAAATTGTAGCTTTAAGTACTTTGTTTTTGGAACTGGCTGTTAGAAATTGAAATACATTGTGTTACTATCTTTATAATTTATAAAAAGTGCCAAAGAGAACAGGTTGATAGACAAAAAATAGTATTTTGACCTAACAGGATGATTCCCAAAGTGCTATTAGCCAAAACCCTGGAATATTTCAACGTGGTGTGCAATCTTTAGAAACTAGACAAGCTGAAGATGGGTTTTTAAGTCTGCCAATAGCCTTCCATCTGTCACTAGTATCAACTTAATTCTATTTTATTTATATAGAAGAACAGTAGTTTCTATAAAACTACAGAGAAAACCTCAATAATCGGATGACCCAACGAGGATGCACTTGGCGACAGTAAGAAGGAAAAACTCCCTCTTAACAGGAAGAAACCTGGCTAGTGGAGGGGAAGTCATCTGCCGCGACCAGTTGGGTGTAAGGGAGGAAGACTGGATAAAAGACAGGCTGTGGAAGAGAGCCAGAGATGAATGACTGGGAATTCATCTCTGAGTGAGTGGGAAAGTTCCTTTTCCCACTCACTTTGGTGAGTGGGAAAAGGAACTTTTTAAGCCTAATCTTAAAAGTAGAGGTGTCTGTACCCTGAATTCAAACTGAGGGCCATCTACGAACATAGCAGAGGCTTTTGGCCTGGAATCTTTCAGTGTGGTGTGCAGCTTTCTTTGACTCTTCGTTTAATGAGTAAGACAGAATCAAACACTGCAGGCACTTTACTCTTGACTCATTTCACTCCATTGTAACAAGTTATTAGAGTAGTGAAATCTTTCTGTTCTGACTATCCGTGCTTTTTTTTTTTTTTTCTCTTCCCCCTCAGTGTCACCACTTGACTTTGCGTTCTTGTTGGATGACGTTTTTTGTGGGGGGGGAGTTGCATGCAAAGTTAATCCCTTATGTAGAAGCCTTATTTTAACCCTCTCCTTTTAATTTTAGTGAGGGGCTAATTATGCATTTTCTCATCAGCCTGGAGCACCGTGGAGAGTCATGAGTTACTGCAGCATCCTTTTTACAGCCTGTCAGGGAGAGAAAACCTATCACACATCCATTTTTTTTCTTTTTTTTTTTCCACGTGCACCAGCTGTGACAAAGAGGGTTCCACACGGCACTCACGTTTTTTTTTGTTTTTTGTTTTTTTTCCCCCTCCCCTGTCTGAGTCACATGATCTTTTGGCTAAACTGTCTTAGCCTCCCAGCATCCACATCTGTCCTTTCTCCCACAGTGTATGTGGCTCTGCTATCTGGCCGGCTATACGTGCGCAAGTGTTTGTTTTCTTTAGCCACTAGCACCGCGAAGAATATTTTCTCTCCTATAGAGCAGAGAGGAGAAAAAACCGGAGGGAGGGAACTGATGAGGAAGAGGAAGGAAGAACTGTTCTATATAAAGCAAGCGCGAGAGGCTCAAGCTTGTGGTTTAAGAGCATTTGTAGAGACGCTTGGAGGCTGAACTGCGAGTACAAGACGGTAATGAACTGGAAATCATTGTAACTGAACAGCAGAGCGTTTTGTTTATGTGGAATACTTCCTCTTTGTGGCAACACCAGGTTAATCTTAGTAAGAATAACTTCTTTTTGTGTAACCTATGAATTCATGCAATATGTGTCTCTGGAGGTGTGACCTAAACTTGAGCAGGGCATTTTATGTCCAGATGTTTTCAGTTACAGCTCTTACGCAGCTGAAAAGGTTTTGATTTAAGGCGTTCTGTTTTGGGTTTTTTCATTTTCTTGTAGTAGATTTCTTGTAGTCTTTCCCTTTCAATTTGGAAGGGATGGAGAAACAGGGAAGGTGGGTTAAGGAAGAGCTTGGCATGCAGCAACAGGCCTGAAATGGAAACGAACCATGACTGCTAGACAAAATAAATGACTGCTGTTATATGGTCACATCATTCTTATTTTTCTTTAAACATAAGAATAAAATGCAGTGTTTTGGTTTGGTTCTTTTAGCAGGTGCTGTGAGTGAAGCCCCCTCTGAATGTGTACAAGTTTGTGACGTACTTGTGAGTGTGAGCTGAGCCTGTGCGACCATGCCAGGGTCTGGGAGCGGTTTATCGGTGCAGCGCTGCCTCACCTTCACCACAGGTCTGGTGGAGTGCCTGTGTTTCGCTGGAGCTGTGTTTGGTTGGGCTTCTCTTGTGTTTGTCCTCAAGGAAGAAGGCTACTTCAGCTCTCTGTGTGTCAACGGCACAGGAGTCAATGGAACACACATTTTAGGTCAGTGTGATGTTCTCACCTTCACAACTTTGAGCAACAAAATAAACTTGAAAATGGCTGAAGGATGGAAATTAATCAATCACCTGTTTCTTCTGTCTTTTCTAACTTTTGTTTCTGCAGATTGCGCCGGACAGGATGAACAGTTCTCGCTTATTTTTACCATTGCGTCTTTTATGAACAACTTTCTGACGCTGCCGAATGGTTTCCTTTTTGATCGGTTTGGTACTACAGTGACTCGGCTCTACGGAATGTAAGTCCAGCACCTTAAATAGTCAATGAATAATTCTAATCAAGAACATTCATATGAAAAATGTACTCGTATGTGGCACTAAAAGCCCAACAATCATGTTAAGAGAAATGAAGTGGTAAACTATTAAAGAGCACCAATAAGATGTCATAACTTTTGAGCAACAACTGCACAGTGCAACTTTTAATTAGTTTTTCCTCGAGATGTGATGATGGTTTATTGAAATTCTGCAGGTAATTCTAATATATCCTGCCCACAAATAAAATGGACTTTAAAAAACCCCTCCTAACTGCAAAGGTCGTCTGTTTTTTAGATAAACAGGCATATTTTGACTAAAATGTTATCCCAGATTTTCCTGACAATTCCAGAGGAAGGATCTACTCTGTAATAGGACTTTTGCAAAACTTCTGGTCCTTACTGTCATGTTGAATTTCAAGAGTTAAAGTTGGTGGTTAGACGTTTTTATAGCATCTGTTTTTGAGAGTCCACTTTCAAATTCCATTATCTAGAAAACTACTTGAGAATTTTCTTTTAGGAAAGATATCAGAAATTATTGCGCGGCAAATGTGGAATTTCAGGCCCATAACTCGGATTACCACAGAATGATGGATGCATGAATTTCCTGAAATACTTGGATATCTGATCTGACAGCAGATTTGGAGGCTTGGAGGAGCCACAGTATTTCAGCTTCTCACAAGTTAGGGACGTAAATAAAACTGTCCAAATTAGGTGACTAGTGTCACAAATATTAATATCTGAATTTGACCCCATGACCTAAATCGAAATGAGCATTATTTTTCTATCTCTGTCTGATCTTTTAGTTTCCTCGTGATTTCTAACAAAAACTCACATTAATGTGCGATAGCCAAAGATTGTTTTGAAAGTAGAGTAAGAGGAAATATTTTCTTCTGCTGCCAGAGATGCCGTTTAAAGTTCAATCAAATGTCAGATTTAGCGGGGAAGGCAAGAAAATGGAAAGACTGTTAATCACAGAGTAAGGTTTTCTTTTCTCCTCCAGATGCTCAGAATCCAACACTAAGCTCTCATCCCTCCTCAAAGTTAATCATGCAATGGAACACCAGACATACCTCTGCAGGGTTCTGCCCCAAATATCTAAATCCACAATAACAGACTGGCACTGAACAGATCCATATGTTTCCAGTTATACAGGGTGGGGTGAAAATAAATAGCCAAGGAATGCTAGTAGTTGTAGAAGAGGCACCGAGTGCAGATGAGGATGCTTAGGCCAAGAAAAGGAAATTAAAGCTCTCCAAACAGCACCAGAAGCACATTTACTTGGTTGTGAGTGATGGTGTGTTAATGTAACGCATCTCAAAACAACCAGTTTGCCAAAGTGCTGCACAGTTATTAGGACACTAATGATCAAGAATTCATCAAATTGTTTTAGCAAATTGTGTGGCACAAATAACAAATGATACTTTTCAATTGCAGATTTCTTTACACCATAGGTACAGTGATGGTGGCCTTTTCTACTTCAGGTGAGTTCTCAAATAAAGATCAGAGTAAATAAATATCAGCATGAACACAAATGTTGTTACAGCTGTTATGTTTTTTGTTTTTTCTTTCTCCTTTTTAGCTCTGGCCATCCTGCTCTTCCCAGCTCTCTCCCTCCTGGCTGTGGGTGGCATCTTATTTCTGATGACCAACATGCAGGTACTGGATCAGTTTAAGATTACTGCTGCAACATTAGGCAGTTTTAATAAATTTTATTATACATTTGACTATTTCTGTAAAAAAAAAACTCTTATATATTTTTCTAGAATGTTGGTTTGATCATTTTCCTGTTTGGGAAAGTAAAATCTTTTTAGACCTGTCACATTTTAAACCTTTAAACCTCTCGACTTCTGAAATGCGCTTTTGCTTGTGAGCTCTGTGTGTAGATCACCAGAAAGAGCTGGAAAGACACATGATTATAACTTGCTAACTGACTCATCTATGGCCCACTTTGTCAGTAAAGCACTGTATGAAGAAAGAGGTTCGACTGTGTGACCTTTTATGATCTGTGTTCTGTGAATGTAAGACGTTCCACTCTTTCTTCAGGCTATCAGCAAACTGCAACAAAGCCAAAACACAGAAACCACCTTCACCACACTTTTTTTTGTTTTTGCACAAATCCCTCTTGGGGAGGCCATGATGATTTATGAATTTGAACCACATTCTACATTCCCCCTCGAGCAAGACCTACAGCCAAGTGTTTGGACAGTGACAGGTTTTGTAGTTTTGCCTCTGTACACTGGATTTTTAAATCAAACAACTTTGGTGTCATTTGAAGTGCAGACTTTCAGCTCCAAACCTAACTGACAAACATTAAGCTGTCTCAAGGTTCAGGAGATGGATCGGTGTTTATGCTGTAGCTCACTGATGTAAGGCAGCTGCATTTTTCACATTTGGTTTGACTTTGACGCGATTTTCACTAAAATTACGTCGGCTCGAGCTGTTATCTACCATAGCACAGAACTTAAAAATAATCTTCAGCTGTGCACACTTGACTCCTAACTGAAAAACTGAGCCAAGTTTATCTATTCTCCCCTCCCTTCGTGGGGAAAATAGATAAACTTGGTATAAATATTGAATTTGCATTTGGTCGCTGTTCACAGGAACTCTCAGTACAAGAGACGTAATCGCCTTCAGTTGTATCTATCAGTGATAGCAAAAACTTTAGGTATGCCCAATGTGTGTTTTTGTCCAGAAACTTACAATAGACAACAGAAAGATGAATGCAGAGGGGACCAATATCAACTAAGAATTTTAAAGAGCCCCCACAATAACATTTAATTCAATTTTCCTAAAGGTAGGAAACCTGTTTGGCTCACGTCGCTCCACCATCATCACTCTTTATAACGGGGCCTTTGATTCTTCCTCGGCACTCTTCCTCGTCATCAAGGTGAGAAACATTTACACACAAAAGAATCAGCAGGATATATTGATGCTGTCTCGTGTAGCAATGATCACCACTACATCTCTTCTTTTCCTGCAGCTGTTGCATGAACGTGGCATCGCTCTTCGCTCCTCCTTCCTGTTTCTGTCCGCCTGCAGCGTCGTTCACCTGCTCAGGACTTTCTTCTTGCTGCCTCGGAAATTGATTCCATACCCGCTGCCGGATAACTACACATACGGGTATGAATCCACGGCAGACGTCTCAAACGAGTCTGCACTTAAAGTACAAAGTGTCCTTTTTCTAAAATGACAAAGGACCATAAGGAGAGGAGGGATGCGCAGTTTTAATCAGTGGGAATGCTGGATAGAAAGCACCTGGATGCAGAAAAAGTGTGACTGGGTGAATCAGAAATGTTATGTAGTGCATTTCTGCTTGAGCTTTATGCAAGGACCAGTCAGTTCACATTTACAATAGCACTAATGTGTTTGGAAAGTGCCAAATGTACCTTGCAGCGTGGTTGCTAAAATAAAAACTGCAGTGAAGATGCATGAAATGATCATGCATGAGTTTAATTTTACTTTGATTAGTTTGTCTTGTGTTTGTGTTGCTGCCAGTGAACAAAACCTGGAGTGGACAAGGAGGGCAGAGTTGGTGCTAAAGGAGAGTGCCATAGCTAAATCAAAAAGAGGAATCAGTGTAGCACTGTGGTCAGAATAGTTTCCTCATAGAGAGTTCCTGTTTTCATAGGAAACAGATCAAACATGCATCCAGTGCTTACTGAGAAAGCTCTTACTCAGTAAGCTGAGTAAGAGAGCTCTTTACAGCCAATGATGACAAAGGCCCAATGATGAGGACATCAGTTGTATTAAAATCAACAGAACATTTAAACCTCAGTATGAGGACAGCCTTTTTTTTCTTTTTTTTTTTTTTTTTTTAAATGCACTAGAGTCCCCGCCAATATAAACACAAAGTCTAAAACTGATCATAGGAGCATAAATTTTATAATTGTGCATAATTTTCCTCACCTGTAGCTCAAAAGGTAGAAACGTTTGTCTGCTTATTGACATGCAGACTAGAGGTGCCAGGAATCAAACCACCAAACCTCCAAAGTATCCTTGAGAAATATACTGAACCCCAAATTGATGCATGTGTCTGAGAGTGAATGCTATGTTAAAGGACTTAGAGATAGGAAAACTGACTTGTGTGTATTTGTGTTAGTGGCTGAATGAGGTTTGTAATAAGAAAAAGCTTTGAATGCTCAACTTTTACCTCCCCCCCCCATCTCCATGCAAACATCCTGCATAATTTAAAATTCCAATAAACTCAATTCATAAAGTAAATGTAAAACAACTCGCTCGGTCCATTCTGTGTGCCGTTAACCCCGCTGTGACTTTGACCTCAGGATAACCTGTGGTAAATCGGACAATCGTATTGGTGAGGTGGCGGAAAACGGAGATGCACAGAAGGTAGAGGAAGTGCCGCTCAACAAGGATGCATCTGCAAAGCAAGGTCTGTGCCCAACTTGGAGAGAAAAAGAATGAACCAATCATACACAGTACACTTATCCACTGTGATTTTTACCTATCTCTTTGCCTTCTTTCCTCATCTCTGTGATCTCCCGTCTCTCTCAGAGAAGAGTTTCCGTGACTGTTTGCTGTCCAGGTTCTTCATGTGGCATCTGCTTTGGCTGTCAGTGATGCAGCTCAGGCATTACCTGTTCATTGGCACCCTAAACCCCATGCTGCAGAGGCTCACAGCTGGAGAGTCCTCACTGGGTAATCGCACAAACACCACATCACTCAGTCTCAGCTCTAAGCACTTGAATGTAATTTTACTAAATCAACATGCGTTAGGTACTTTGAAAATGCATCAGTGTCTAAATTCTGCTTCATTAATAAACTGGCTTATCTTACACAGTAAGTGCAGTGATTTACAAACTAAAACTCCATGTTTTTGATGCCTTTTGAACCATCATGTCTCATATTTTGGTGGACTCTGCCTTTTATCCATTTTGTTTGTGTCCCTGCAGTGAGTCAGTACACCAATGCCTTTGCGATCACCCAGCTATGTGGCGTGCTGTGTGCTCCCTGGAACGGCCTCATTATGGACAGACACAAGGGCAAACCACGAGCTGAAGGTAACACCATGACTCTAATACTGATGTAGAATAAAAGACAACACCTCCCATTCCTGTGTGGATTGAATAATTTTCATGAATTCATTCAGTGATGGGTTTACATGAAATGCTGTCATGGTTTAGTTTTTGTGCATGCTATTTAAACTAGTCTTTTTATACCTTGTTTGAAGTTTTGTTTAAGTTTTACTTTATTTCAGACTAATGATAGGGGAGAAGAAAGGAAACTTGCATACAGTATATCAAGATTTGTCCACTTTAATCTTCAGTCTCATCTGAAGAGAGACCCTCAGGCTGGCTGCAGATTCATAAAGAGCGACATGCACACTTCAGTCATTATTGTGTTTGTAGGGGAGAGCGAGCAGGAGGTGGACCTGCGGGCGACGGTGCTTTCTCTCTTCCTGACGGCCCTGCAGTGCCTGTTGTTTTCCATTTGTGCCTCCACCCCATACCTGCCTCTTCAGTACCTCACCTTCGTCCTGCAGGTGCTCAACCGCTCCTTCCTCTATGGCGGCAACGCGGCCTTCATCAGTGTGGCGTGAGTATCAAACATGCACGCTAATCAACGAATAGTTTACATTTCACAGCACTCTTTCAACACAACTGTAACTCCACGAAATATTTCTGATATTTAATGAAACACAAAAGATAAGAAATCTGCGGTTTAAAAAAGATAACACATAAAACACATATCTTAGTGATGACTCATCCATCAAAACAGTGAAAAAACAATAACAAAAGAGAAACTTATCAGAAAGAATTGTTTTTGATGAGGCATGTAATTTTTTTTTTTTTTGTTTTTAAATAAGCCAGCCTCTATATACACATGTGCATAGAGGCAGGCAGGTTTACACACTGGTCTTTAAAAATGTTTATAGAGGTGAGCATTAACCAGCATTTCCTCTTTAGATCACTAGATGGCAGTATATAACAGCTGTGTTTATAACATGAAGCATTTCATTCATCCAAATTTGGGATATGCTTTTGCTACAGCAGTTAAAATGAAGTCAAACACAGCAAATTAAAATAAATTATTTTAGTAAGTAGAGTAATGCCTAAAAGCGAAATCTTACAAAATAGCTAGTTTTGTATTTTGGAAACTTCTGGGATTTTTTTTTTTTTTTTTGGCAATCTCGTCTCTGGTTTACAAAGGTTGGTCAAAGAAAGGGAAAACATCCATTGTGCTGCAGTTCTCTGGGTGAAAATTAATAAAAATTAGTAACCCCAGGTGTGTAAATGGACTTCTAGATCATAAGAGGAGAAAAGTAATTCAAATACCTCAAACCTCTTGCCACGGCCAAAGTACTCAGAGCATCTCAGCAGCAGCAGAAGACCACGCAGTGGCCTCTCCTGTCAGCTAAGAATGGGAAGCTGAGGCTGCAGTTTACAATAGAAGAACACAAGACTGGAAAAACATTGAGTCTAAACTCTTGAAGTCAGAATTGGATGTAAACAACATGAAAGCATGGATCAGCAGTTCAGGCTGGTGGTGGATTTTCTTGGCAGACTTTGGGCCCATTAGTACCAGTTTAGCATCATTTAAATACCTTGTTAGTAGTATAAATCTAAATTTAAAAAATTAATGTATTAAAAAAACCAACTATATTAAATACTTAATCAACAAAAGTGAAGTCAGCAGAACAAATAATGCATTGTAGGAAGCTGCTGCATGAGTAATAAGTGCTCAGTCTGTACAGAGGGGGACCAGGATGGTCTATAAGTTTGTTCAGTGACATCTCTACCACAGCTTCATATTTTTAAATGCATCAAAGGGTCTTTAATGTTAGCTGCTGACAAGTAAATGTATACAAATGCTCTTAGACTGCATGTAAATATAGTATACTTGTAATAAGTAATTATTTCCACATTATTGCTGCCTGTCCTGGTTAAATAATTCTTGTGTGATCTCCTTCCTCCTTACTTTCTCGCT